GGCACTGTGTTCAGTGTTTCCCAGGTAAAATCTCATTTAATTCAACAATCGTTTGAGAAAGAGATCATTTGTCATCCATTTACAGAATAAGAATATGTTTCCCCCTCTATTCTTAATTTACAAATCCGTAAGTGTTCTCTGTTCCTTTCCAAATACATGGTGCTGCGGACTTTGACCTGAAAGGGATTCAGGCAAGGTTTGGTTAAGTGCTCTCAACTAAGGAATTAGAAGAGAGAAAGAAACTAAAAAGACAGGGCCCAGAAGGAGGCAGTGTTCTGAGCCATAGGAGGAAAGATCACTTACCTGCATATGTATTTTAAGCCCAATTCTGTCACTCAGCTGCTACATACTCTAGGATTCAGCTTTGCAAATTAGAAGAAATCCACAGCCTTTTATTTCCGGCGTCCCTAGATAATGGCAAGGTGGTCAACACTCATGGTTCTTATAGCCACTGTCTTCTTTCTACAGCACCTCGTGTGACCTCTGAGCCAAGACCCTGAGGCAATTTTGAGCAGCTCATCAAAACCCCTGGAGCCCTGAGGGAGCAAGGACACAAGAGGGGCCACTTCCAGAATGTCTCTTAAGCCGTGGAAGGCTTCTGCAGTCTGTGCCCCACCAAGTCATTTCAAGGCTTCCTGGGGATGAAATGTGAGAGAAGATAAACTTGGCTTTCATCTTTAAAAACATCAAAAAATAAATAACATCAAAATGCAGGCTGGATAAGGAGGGCTCTGATGTGCAAACGTAAGTAATGGTGCATTAATCAGTCCCAGTGAATTGCTCAAGCTCACCAGACTTCATAAAACTGGGGACACGGGACAGAGATACCCTCTAGGATTGCAGCCAGAAAGCATGTCTGTTCCTTTGCATCACATGTCAGTGCTTCCTTCCTTTCTCGGCCAAGAGGAAATGATCAATCTCAGCCCCTCCACTCCACGAGGCTCCGCCGAAGCCCCCTCAGCTATCTTGGCCATTTTCTAAGTGCAAAAGCTGGCCAATTATTTGAAGTTAAGTATTTTGTTCTAGAAAACCCAGTAAGGTATTCTGTATCTTTGATTCATGATCAGCGTGGTATCTCTTCAGCTATTAAATTCTTAGGAAGACAGTCCACACCCACTAGGATGGCTATAATAAAAAATACCGACAATAACAAATGCTGGCAAGGATATGTAGAAATTGGAACTCCCCTACATTGCTAGTGAGAATGTACAACAGTGCAACCACTTTGAAACAATGTGGCAGCTCCTCAAAAGGTTAAACACAGTTATCACATGTCCCAGCAATTCCTCTGCCAGGCGTGGACCCAAGAGAAGTGAAAACATATGTCCACACAAAAACTTGTCCGTCAGTGTGCATAGCAGCACTATTCCTAATAGCCACAAAGTGGAGATCCAAATGTCCATCAACCAATGAACAGAAAAACAAAATGTGTCTATTTTCACACAATAGAATATAATTTGGCAAAAGAGGAATGAAGTGAGCAGCTGGGTGGCTCAGTCAGTTAAGTGTCTGCCTTTGGCTTAGGTCATGATCTGGGGATCCTGCGATCGAGCCCTGTGTCGGGCTCCCTGCTCAACGGGGAGCCTGCTTCTCCCTCTCCCTCTGCCTCCACCGCCCCGCTCGTCCTCTCTCTCTCTCTCTCTCTCTAATAAATGAATAAACTCTTTTTTAAAAAATGGGAATGAAGTACTAAGAAATACTATAAAATGGGTGAGTCTTGAATACATTAGGCTAAGTGAAGGAATGGCCAAACACAGAAGACCACATATTGTACCATTCCATTTCTGTAAAATGGCTAGAATGGGCCAATCCACAGACGGGAAGCAGAGTGATGGTTTCAGGGCTCAAAGGGAAAAGGAAAGTGGGAAGTGATTGCTCATTGGTACAGGGCTTCCTTTTGGAGTAATGAAAATGTTCTGGAATTAGATGGTGGCGATGGTTGCATAACCTTGTGAATATACTAAAAAATCACAAATGTACAAAAACCAATTCTTAGAACACTATTTAGAGTATGGTATGCCAGAGCTGAGCTAAGCTCCTGTAGGTAGTCCTCACTGTTAAGACCAGGAAGCTGGTGGTAACTACTTTTGCAAGTGAGGAAAGGACTGTCCAGATAGAATCTCTGACTTGCCCAACATCACCCAGCTTTAAGAAATAAACCAATCCAAATCTGTCTCCACCCACCATCCTCTACTGCATAAGGCTACATTAGACCATTCCCAGCCACGTGACCCTCAGCAACCTCCAGTTCCTGATCTGTGAGAGCAGAGACCTCTGTTCTCCACCCTTCTGGAGCCTCAACTACAGCACCAGCTCGCACGCAGACCAGGTTCTTGTTTCCCAATTGGTGGTTGGGTCCTCAAATCAGTGGCCCTTCAAGACTACCAGATGTTTGATTGTAACTGCCTGTGGGATCAAGGAACTTTCCACAAGATCCGATGGAGGGAAGCTTCCTGAGGTGAAGAGGGATTGAGAGGCTGAGCAGTAGAATATGTGCTGCCGAAGCGAGCACTAGAGAGGCTGAGCAGTAGAGAAGGTAAACCCAGCCCAAAGGAATCCACAGAACCCTCTAGAAGGCCCCATTTCTCTGTCCTCCTCCTCCATCCTCCCCAGCCTGCCTGAGCCCATCACCAGCTACTTTCTGCCCGAGCCCATCACCAGCCTCTTGACTACCAACCTTCCCAGATGGAGACGGAAGAGCCAGACACTACCCACTTCTCAGCGAGATGCCTGAGATTTTTGGTTCTTCGTAAATGAACCGATCTCACCTCACAGTGCCAATCACACTGTGGTTCAACTAATTTCCTTAGGTTTGGTGGGGGGCGGGAGGGGGCATAAGCTCCAGGATCCTATCACACCCTGCTTCCATCTATTTATTTGGGGGCAGGTCTCAAAAAAGAAGTGTTTCTCATTCTTCTTATGCACCTTACTGACTTCTCCCTCTGGGTGTCAAATCTTTCAAAATAATTCAAAAACCCAAACGGCCAACAGCCAGTACGGTATTCTAATCTACATGGTCTCCTCGAAAGCTGCTCCCTCAGTCTCAAAAGCATAAAATGCACACCAGTTATTTTCCCAGGACAATGGGCCACCCTCCAGATGGCTGGCCAGACTCTCGTTCCACTAATGGCCTCCAACCCAATGAAGAGCCTCAACGTGGCACTTTTTAACCATATGGTTCTGAGAGCATGGACGAATTCGGGCTATTTCTGTCTCCCTTTCCTGATATGGAGGCTGGCAAGAAGACATAATGGGACCCTGAATCGTAAATTCACATTGTTAGCAAGCAAAACATCATTTCCCTCTTCAGATTCTTGGTGGCCTGGAAACAGGTCAAATTATTTTAAGATTTGTTCAAGCTCTCTTTTTGAAATGTTGAAGCCAATTCTACTCCCCGTACATCAGGAGGAAGCCAGTCTACAAGGCTTCAAGACCCCTCCCCAATAGCCAGATCATCTGAACCTCTCCACTCATAGCACCTGCCATCCGCAGGACACCTCCCTGTTTGCAAAGCTTTGCCCACGCCATCCCACGTTTGCTTTTCCAAAAGCTAAAACCCAGAAAGATACGACACCTTCGGGGTCCCAGGAAGCAACACAGCCAGAGCGGAAACCCACCTCCCCTGACTTCCCACCGGATCCACCTGTCCCAGGTACTGCTGGTCCCGGCCAATCCCTGTGGCAAGTCACCGGTTTGTAGCCGACAACGAACCTTCCCAGCCCTGCCTTTCAGGCCATCACACCAAACAGCACTGAGTCAACACCTCTAAGCACAGGAAACCATTTGGTGAGACACGAGTCTTAAAAAAATAAGCTGCGTGACATTTATTTTGTCTTGTTAACATTAATATCTGTAGAAACATTTTTTATTGTCAGTATAAAAATTAACAGGATTTATTAAATACTTTCTCCAATTTGTAACAAGTAGAATCAGTGTAATCTGCACGTGGCATGACTATAGCAGAGTGAGTAGGTGTTTCCAAAGCAAAACACAATCCTTTCATACAGAACGCACAACATGGCAACGTTGTGTCTGACGCTGGTATGAGGCCCAATCTTTTGGTGAGGTCCTGCCAGAATTAGACAGAAGCAATCCCTTAAAAAGACGGAAGTGTCTCCAAAGACTATCAGTAGAACAACTCAGGGTTTCAATTCTAAAAGCCTTCTCTAACGCCAATGAATCTGGAAGCCATGATCAAAATCCACTGAGGAGAATACAGGCTAATCTGATTAACGTGCAACTCAGCGCAGAAGACCAGCTGCCGGGGAGGACAGTCGGCTATCATCTCAACTAAGGTCCATCCTCAAGGAATGGATTAAGGCATCTTTTTAAGAGAACGCTGGTCCCATTTGTCTTGGGAAGTCCAGTTAAATGTTCCTTGGGCCCAGTGACAGAGCTGAACAGCAAAACAAAATACTCTCTTATTAATGGGTTTGTTTCCTCTTGGCATTTTGGTGGTGTAAGAACAACCATCTGACAGCAGGGTTTAAAACAAATAAATCAAAACTTCATTTTCCCCAAATTAGTCATATTCTGTAAATATTCCTCTTTTCAAAGAATCTGATAACTAGTTAAGTCCAAGCAATAGATTGACTAGTCCGATGTGCTGCTTGCAAAGAAACGCCACTTAAATTACAAAACAAAAACAAAAAAACCCCACAAAACTATAAATGATTAATTGTTTTGTATATTACCAATTCATTAATAAATTAATGTTATACCATTTTCCCTGAAAGCAAAAGTATTCTTCCACCTCTGCTCGGTGAAAATTAAGAAATTCTGTGTAAGAACAGCATTTAGGAAATAGCTATTACAAAAAGAGAGACCAATTTTCTAGGTGCATTGGGACATCCATTTAAAATCAATACAAAAAATAATTCCTTGTAAATATATAATATATATTTATACATAATTTGAATATATTTACATACATCCAGCACTTATATACTGCAGTTGTGCCGTTGTGTGTGCTGACATATATTTTCTTCTATTATTACAAAATTCACAAGGAAGGCAGAACCTAAGTTTGCCTCAAGTCCAGCTGGTCCACAGCCAGTACCCACAGTGGGTCGTGGGCGCGTGGTGGCCCATGGCAGTCCATGGCCCCAGAAACATTCTTCTTCTCCAGGTGAAGATTACAAGTTTCCAACTGTATAAATTCTTTACACGTGTGCCGATTACTTTTCCGATTATTTACTCCTCTGATCCATATATACAAGCGGAGCCAACAAGCTCCTGGAGGCATGGCCTCCCTGCTCGTGTGGCTAGCTCCCTGGTGCTGTCCTGTGTGGGAACGGAAGGACAAGCTCATTCATGTTTTAACTCTGCCGTTTACATGTGGGTACTGAGGAAGGCAGGGTTCGTAAGGCATGGGGTCCGGAGAGAAAACAGAATCGTCTCCTGAAGAACAAGAACTCCTTGTGTCAGGGTAACTAGGTGAATACTGTTCGAGAGGCTGACTGAGGTCCAAGTATTCCTGAAAGAAGGGAAGAGAGACGTTTTATTTCATCTCGGGTCAGGATAACAAGGTGAATACGGTTCGAGAGGTTGACTGAGGTCCAAGTATTCCTGAAAGAAGGGAAGAGAAGACCTTTATTTCAAATGCAGGCTCTCGAGACGCTCTATCGGAGCTGAAGACTCAGAGACCTAGCACCCCCCCCCCCCCCCCCAAAAATCTCCCCCAGACCCCCCCCCCCCTTTATTGACTCTAGGCTGCCCTTAACCCTTCTCTTACAATCCATCATGAACAAACAAGAGGCAAGGAGGGAATGGGAAAATGCTGAGCACTCCGGTCCACTCACAGAGACCCCCAAAAAGCGGCTTGCTACGCGCCTCTCCTCGAGAGGGAGCACACTGTTCAAATCCGAGCCCCCGCAAAATGAAAAACACGTAACGTGTTATGGAGTCCGGGGACCCCTTAAAATAGTTGAGACCATGAATATTTATTTTACGAATTACATTTTACTATTGCAGTTTCTAGGATAATTTAGGGGGAATCTGTCTCCATTCAGCGGGTAATTTCACAGATGTAATTCATTACTCTCAGAAGCTCTCCAAGTGGAAAATGTAAACAGGTTCAGAAAAGGCTCGGAGGTACTCGTGTATGTTAAATCCATAATGGACTGTTAAAGAAGAGTTTGAAATTCAAAAGGGTCTCTTCTGCTCCCTACAGCCTCTGTTGGGGTTGCTATGGAAGAGAGCCCCCTGGATGACCCAGGATAACATCTCCTCCAACTTATGGCAGCGTGAGAGCCCACTGCCTGGTCTTGTGTGGCCCATGAGCAAAAACATGTTTTGAAACATGAGCTAAAATGTTTTAACGTTTTTCAACGGGGGGCGGGGGGGGGAGCGGGCAGGGGAATCAAAAGAAGAGTAATATCTCATGGCATTAAAATGACATAAAAGGACATAAAAGTCATACAAAATTTAAATGCTAGGGTCCATCAAGTTTTACCCAGAACATAGACACACTCATTGACATATTGTCCATAACTGTTTTCTCGCCTTGACAGCTGACCTGAATAGTTCAGCTCCCAGAAATAAAAAATGTTTACTATCTGGCCCTTTACCGAAGAGGTTCGCAGACCCTTGCTTGGAAACTCTGGCAAGATTTCTAAACCGAGGAACTTCTGGGTGTCGCTGCCCCTACTGGGCTGACACACTGGGGTGGTTCTGCTCCCACACCCTGAAGCCAGTGAGAGTCCAGGATGTGTGGTTTTGCTGAGACCACAGCACAGCCAGCCCCGGTGTTATCAGAAAAGAGCCCGCAGAATGTTGGGACCTCGACATTTTAAAAAGACACCCCCCCCCAAAAAAAAAAACTGGAAGAAAAAAAAAACCCACTATAATTCATCACCAGGTTTGGCAAGGGAAAAAGTCCCCATCCAAGAATGGGGGATGTGTCAGTTCCAACAACATCAGCATTAACCGCACAACTGGAAACAAACACGCCCACCACATCAAAAGAGAACTTTTTGCTTACAATGATAAAAATGAAATTTTGTCCTAAATGGAACCATTTTTCTCAAGCATATGGGAATGATTTTCAGAAGGAAAGAAACTTCGATTTTTATATCCGTTAGACAATATGGCATTCTGCTTTTTTATTTTAGGATGCTAGATGTAAATTTCAGTATGAATGGACCCACTTTAAATTTAAATATACAAATAAAGAGCATTGAGCATGGACTTAGGACCAGTAAAACGGAACATTAGTGCTTTCCCAGTTTCTAAATGCAGCCATAAATGTTCAGATCTGATAGGGGGAAAAGAGGGGTATCAGTGGATTCCAAGTCTAGGGTTAAAGGAACTTACACTAGAAACAACAATTTTGGCAGGAGAAGAAAGTTGCTTTTTTTCCCCCCTTGAACTGTTCCTTTCCTTTCAACTTCTGAAGGTCAGCTGTATTCATTTAAACGCAATCTCTCCTTTTATCAGCTACAGTTAGACACACAAGATAATGTTGCTGGCTTAAGGCTTCCTATCACAACATTTGATTTAAAAAAAAATCATTCTGAAACTATTAAATGTATTCAAAAATACATTAAGTGTATTATTTTTATTCAAGCAACTTTAACATCTTTTTGTTGTTGTTAAGGTAACTGGGTTTGGGGGAGGTTTTTTTCTTCCTGTTTGAAGGAAGACTGCTTGCTGCACCCTCATTAAATATCTCAAATTCATTCATTAACAATTTTTTGTGGGATTCTTCTGAGCTCGATGGGTTTCTCATCGTTCCTGCTCAGATCAGACACTCTCTACCACAGACCACTCTATCTGCATACTGAAGCAAGCCCTACCATGACTGAAATCACGCAGTGAGGGACAGAGGAGTGTTTCTCTCGTTGGTGCAGATTACAAATATTTTATAGAAAAATATTTTAACAAAAGGTAAAAGCTTTCACTTAAAAATCACAAGTCCCAGGGCGCCTGGGTGGCTCAGTCAGTTAAGCGTCTGACTCTTGATTTCGGCTCAGGTCTTGGTCTCAAGGGTCCTGAGATAGAGCCCCGCGTCAGGGGCTGGGCTCAGCAGGGAGTCTCTGCTGGAGATTCATTCTCTCTCTCTCTCTCTCCCTCTACCCCTCCCCCGGTTCCCTCTCTTGCTCTCTCTCTCTCTCAAATAAATAAATATTAAAAAAAAAAAAATCACAAGTCCCTCATTACACGGAACTGTGTGTATAGAGACCACATGCCCCACGCCATTTCCAAACAGGGTCACGGTGGACACTGCCGCGCGTGTGAAGCTAGACTGGCAGAACCTCACTGCTTCCAGCGAAGCCCGCCAGCTAACAGAACGGCAGCAACTCCTACGTTAGGAGCTGAATCCAAGCAGCACAGAAACCCAAGCTCCTCACATGCAAACCCAAATGCTGCTATTTCTCTCGCCTCCACATTGTCCAGCATACCACAACCTGGACCCACCACCCAAAGGCCACAGAGAGGGGGGCAGCCTCAAGTAGGGCCCTCGGTCTGGTTTCATGAGTCAGAACTCTCAAAACTGCACATATTTTAACTCTGTCTGACCCCTGTGGAAAAATGATAATCTCTACCACAGACTCCGACAGGGGAGGTTGCATTGAAAAAGCCGCACTGGCCTCCCAAGAAAGGACCACAGGCTTCTGGAAGAGGGTTCTTACCTCATTGGTTGTGAGAGTGAGAATCCGATCCAAGTCCTCTACCAACTGTTTGAACGTCGGCCTCTGGGAGGGCACCGCATGCCAACAGTCCCTCATCATCATATACCTGGGGAAATGGATTTCCTGGTGAACTCATTTTGTAAGTACTAGGTGCACGGCTGTAAGCCAGTGTTAACAGGCACTTGGGAGATAACGTCCTAAATTATGAACATGTATCAGAACTTTCCAAATTAGAAGGCAGTTATTTGCTTTCCCAAAAAATTCACTGCTTGGTTCCTCTGAAAGGCACTTTGAGCTACAAAAACATCACTTCACCCCAAACGTTTTAGGATAGTGTCTATGCCATCAAGACTTATTTCTACGTCTTTGCCGCTGACTTGCGTCTGTGACAGTGACACACACAGAAGTAGCACATCTTTCTGGCACTTCGAGATGCTGAAGGAAAAACCTTCTAGGAGCAACCCGGTCTCCGGTCTCTCCCCAGCACACCCCCCCCCCCCCCCGCCCCCAACTCCTCCTCCCGACCAAAGCAGCTACACATTCTTCTCCCTGACACTTTGGGTTTTATTTTAATGACTGCAGAGGACAAAGGTTCCTCAGTTTAAAAAAAAATGAAGTTTGGAAACCACAACTTTAAGGTAAGGTTTTTATGAATTAATCTGCTATCCCTGGGCTGCACATTAACTTCCTGATTAACTCCTGGACAGGCCTAGGGTCCCAGGCCTTATCTTGATTATGGGTTTCGACAGACCCTCCATATTAGAAAAGGCAATAGGAATGACAGGCAGCACAATAAATACCTTTATATAATATACTATAAAATGTGGCCATTCATCAGATGTCCACTGTACAGTGAAAAGCACTCATGGGATTACGGATATAAAATCCCCATGAAACGATACACAATAGACCACAGTCTCCGGGACAATCACTCTTCTTAGTTAATCCTGGGGGGGTTGGGAAGAGAGACTCCCTTTCAAAGCACTGATTCTACTGCACAAGACGCATGTCACAAACACAACATAATTCCACTTGAAGTGTGGGGTAGGCTTTTCTCGAAACGAGCTCATGGTTTTATAGCCAGATCTGGGACCTGGGCACGTTCTTAATTCTCTGTGCTCAACTATGGGTAAAACAGAGGTAACCAGACCCCAGTTTGCTCTGAAGACGTGTGGTCAATTCCAATCTAGAAGAGCAACTTTCAGTGTTCGCCCATGCCCCCTGGCCGTGCTGGGGGCAGGCGTAAGCCGTGAGGAAAGGCCGGGCAGGCCCACGGCTTTCCAGCTTGTGTATGAGAAAAGGCCAGATCTTTCTCCCTGTCCATCTGAGAAGACAATAGCAAAGCACAGCCTGGTGGCCCAGGAAGACTGCTGCGTCTCACTCTCGAAAGTCAGAAGCCCTCAGCCAGGGGGCCCAAAGCCCTCATCAGAGCTCACTCCATACGCCTCGGGATGATGTTCTCTCTTTTGGACGGTTATGGCCGTCAGTGTAGCCATCCACCCCAGTCCTGAGACTGGGCCCAGAAAGCTTCAGCAGTAAATCTTCTTAGGGCCTGTATGGAAAACCAGGGGCCTTGGGAAACCCGAAATAAGTCAGGAGAAGAGTTAATGGCATGGTGGGTCCGCTGGGTATCAGGAGAGACAACGGTCCTTACAGTTCATTGGTGCAGTTTGCTGGCTTATCCATCCGGTGTCCTTCCTTAAGCAGCTTAAAAAGTTCCTCCACTGGAATCCCTGGGTAGGGTGAGCCCCCTAACGTGAAAATCTCCCACATTAACACCCCGAAGGACCACCTGCAAGGAAGACAGAAAACAGTGTTACCAACCCACCTGAATCCCCAAAACCCAAATGTGCCCAGTGAATAAAGTAAACGCCCACTCACTTCTCATGTTCAAAGACAAATGGACTGAACCCTCCTGCAGTTCATCCCACAGGCCCCTCCCTGCCCCGAAGGAGCATCCTCCCCAAATGCGAACAAGGGGAGGGACGTTCCCATGGAATTTTCCATCAACAGACAACAGAGTAGGGGTGGGAAACCATCCCTCTTTTTTTCTGGTAGAGATTTGGGGTGGTTGCTTTTTCATTCTGACACTCTCAAATGGAGGTGACTTGTCCTTAAATGCGGTGTTAGCAACGTGAGGATGTCAGCTCCTAAGCTGCAGAACTCTTCATGCTCCCGTCCAGCTCTTCCAACAGCCTCTGTGCCCGACGCCCCTGGACCGTGACCCACCAGTATGGGCTGCTGACCGAGTAAGGCCAGCAAGCCAATTCTGCAAGGTAAACAGCCGCCAAGTGTGGCCAGTTGGAGCATCTGAGAGCACAAAAGGTTCATGACTCAGTAGGGTCATGGAGGGAGTGGGCATCAGGCTGGGATGGGGATGAAGGAATCCCGTGCCCTGGACGAGTTTCCTACAGCAGAAACTGAAAACCTCTCTCAGGGGACCATGGGTACCTGACCTCACGGAGACCCACGGCTGGACTTTCTGAGCCTCGTTCAGGATACTCACAGTTCCTGGGGTAATCGAGCCAAGACTCCTGCATTTACCTATGTCACTGAGGCTCTTGACACACACCCTTCCCGACTCTCTTTGGGTTTGGGGTGAGAAATGAAACTCTTCCCCAGTTTTGTGTGGAGCAAAAGTGGGAGCACAATGCAGGCAGCTGACTCCTGACATAACCGGGACTTGTAACACCTTCCTTCTAGGACTGCTAAAGGGGACCAGCTGCGACACCAGGCCTATCCTGGGGAGCATCCTGGTCACATAAATAAAAATAGCTCAACTGTTTTTTGTTTTTTTTTTAACTTTTTATTTTGGACTAATTATAGACTCGCAGGACCTTGGGGAAAAAAAGTACAGAAAGATGCTCTGTACCTTCCCCCCAGCTTCCCACCAGGGTGACTTCTTCCAAACTAATTTCCAAACCTAAAATTCTAAAATATCAGTTGGAGCCTGCCCCTCCAGCTGATATTTTAGAATTTTAGGTTTGGAAATGAGTATTTTTAAGTGTATCATAATGAGAATATTATAGCGTTTTCACTGTTTCTGTAATGTCAGCAAGGGTGCCAGGCCGAGATCAGATCTTTTCAAAGGATAAACAGAAGAAGCGGGCCCGTGGAGATCACCTGAGCAGACTCTGCCCCACTCAGCCTGTCCCCACGAGGACAAACCTGAGATGGGGGGAGTATGACAAACCACCCTCAAGTAGGAAAAGTTTCAAAATTCCTTCTTTCGGGGAGCAAAGAACATGCCAACGGCCTGGCAAATGAGACAGCAGCTTTGTAGTCGTAGATCCGTGAGTAAGTTGGGGGGGGTACTTCCACAGCAGGACGAGGTTCGGGGCCGGGGGGGCACTTCCTCCCTGGCAGGACGATGTTCGAAGTTACACCTCCCGTGCACTTTGAAGCCGGGCAGATTAGTAACAGCGCATTGGTTACCAGCCTACCATAAAATCCGTCCTTTCTAAGGCCGGCTCCTGCACCTTCTATCAACGTGTGAAATACAACAGACACCAAAGAATGAAGAAAGATGAACAGTTATTTTTGCAGCTCAACCCGAGGGAGAAGCCGGAGAGAAGGGAGTTACTTACACGTCACTCTGGTGGGTGTACACTCGGTCAAAAAGGGCTTCTGGGGCCATCCACTTGACTGGAAGTCGCCCCTGCAAGTGTGGGGGAAAAAAGGTAAAAACCACTAGATTAAAACCAGTTTACTTTTGCTGGCTCGACAGGCTGTGCCCTATTTGAGAGCTGACGCTAATGATTTTCAATGGTCAGTCATTAGAGCAGAAATAAGGTCCAGCAGGGCCGACACGTAACATGCAAGATGCACAGATTTGGGCACATGAGTACAGCGCCGTCTCTTTGGACTCTCATCATCCTCGATCTGCCTCGCACACAGACACACCCTGACCACCTTCTAGGCAAAAATTAATCCAGAAACTCCCAAGCTCTAGTCTTGGCTAGGGAAGTTCTTGACAAAGAGCCTGATGAAGACCAGAGAGGCTGCCGATCATTCTATATACAAGGCTGTTTCACATTTACTAAAAGTATCTTAACTACAGCTGAAATTTGCTTATTGAGAAGTTTGTCAAGAATACAGCAAAAGAACAGAGATAAAGGGCAGAGGAATGAACGCCTATTATCTTTCATCTGGAACATTCCGTGCCACCACCACCCCTCCCTCCCTTCCACCACAGTGCTGCCGCAGACTTACGTTTGTGGTCTTTTTGTAATAGTCTATATTGTTGATATCCCTGGCCAGTCCAAAGTCTGCTATTTTCATGACATTGTTTTCTGTTACCAAAACATTTCTGGCAGCTAAATCCCGATGAATACACTGAAATCAAGAAAGAACTCATTTCAAAATGTTTCAAGAATAAAGAGAAAATATACTCACTTCTTACAATGCAGACAGAAAGTACACCTTAAGTCAAAAAAATGGTATTTCTTTTCTAATTCAAAGTAACTAAAAAACCAAGGCCCCAATCATTTCAAAGAGCAAAGAGACACCAAGCAGCCAACCCTCTTTTACCTGCAAACGACCAACAACACTGGCGTCCTTCCTAGCACGAGATCTGTGCTAGATTAATTCTAAAATCTTTTATCTCAACACTTAACTCTCCCGCCCTTTACAGCCAGACTTTCAGAAGAGCTGGTGGAACTCCCAACACCACAACGACCTCCTGGTCCACCCACAAACATTCTGTTTCCATCCCTGCCCCTCCCAAAAGTATATGAGGAACCTCTTGTCAGACCCAAGTGAGCTCTTCTAATGCCTCAATGTTTCCCTCTGCAGCTCTGGACACTGTTGATTTCGTGCTCCTTTTAAAAAAACGGTCCCCACCCCCCCAACCCCTTGAGTTCTATCCCCCCCCTTCTCTTGGCTCACCCTCTCAATCCAGCTCCTCTCTTCCCCTATCCCTCAAAATAGGAGAAATGTCCCATTAATTTTGGATATTTCCACATATCCCTGGGGCTTCTATTCTTAGATACACGCAAAAGATTTGCAAATTCCTACCTCTCTCCTGGGACCCTCACTGTCATCTTCCACAGGTTATGGGACATTTCCACTGTGACATCCCTTTGGCTCCTCAAATTCAAGGTCTCTGCTCCCCTAATTCTTACCCTCTTGGGTCTCTCTCAGTGCGAGAAGTATACACCAGAATTCTCGGCACACTCCTCCCAAATTCTGTGGACGCTGACTCCCACCTGCCTCTGTAATTTGTCCACCCTGCTGTGTCCCCACTACTAACCACACTTAGCCCAGGACATCACCACTGCCCACCCCCAGCCCCATGGAGAGCCACAGTGCCTACCTAACCGGTCTCTGTGCTTCCAAACTCGGCCCTACTGCACCCGCTACGCTCCCCACAAGTTGTGTTTCTAAGAACTGACCATGTCCTTTCCCGGCTTATATCATGACCAACGCCTGTCTGTCCAGGCCCAGGCCCAGGCCTGGAGGACACCGGCTCACACAAAATCCCTGGGGGTGGGGGAGGGGGGTGGGGTGGGGAATGGGGGGGAATGCAGACACGCTCACCAGAGGGCAGCTAATTTATAGTTCTGATACCCTTCGGTCTCAGAAAGGTCTGGTCATTGTAACTCCCATTTTTCCTTTCTACAAATGATACACTTTTGTAAAGTATTATACTTCAATATCACAAGATTTCATCACGACACATGGTAATGAGAATTCCCCAATCAGCAGCCCCTAATTTTTGGAAAAGGCAAGGTCTAAGGAAGTGAACAAATATGGCTACGAAATGCTTTGACACAGGCTCATGTGTTAACTACTGGATGAAGGAGAGAGTCTTATCAAGCCACTTGACAAGGGTGAAATGGGGCTGGTTGTAGTTAGGGACTCCACGACATGGCCAATAAAAAGGAGCAAGCCACACTCTCTCTGAAGAATAAATTAGGAGTTATTTTTTCCTGCCCACCACCCAACGATTCCTTGTTTAATTTAGACGCTTCTGTGGCCCCCTGGATGGGTGAAGACCAGGAAAGGGAGAGCAGGAAAACCCCACAAGTAGGCGTGCCTGTGCCAGAACGGAAGCAGGAAATGTGAGAGCTTCCAGAAGCCGCCTGGGGATCCGGCCGGGGCGGGAGCCATGTTCCTAGTTTGGAGGCCTCTTCAAATTGAACTTCCAAGCCCTCGGCCAAACTCTCCCGGCGGCGTGCTCCCTGCCGACACGAGCTCTGTGCATTTGGCAAGCTGTGTGGTCACAAGAATCTGGATTCCCACACGCTGGGCTCCCACCACACATGAGTGCTCCACTCAGAGATACCACGACAGTGACCTCCATCATCGTCTTGGCAAGAACCAGGATCGAGCACCAACCTCCCACATCCCATGATGCTAGCAGACACGAACGCCCACCCTCTGGGCTGAACAGTAAGAGACTTGGAACCAACACGCAAGAAAAAGAAAATAATTAACATCAAGCCAAATTCCCATCATCTGCAGAAATCAGAGCTGTTTTCCAGGGCAGAGCTGACCATTTACATAACTAGGGTCCTCAGACCATTTGGTATCCATTTCTTAAGTGGAGATCCATGGGTCACACTAAGGGAAGGAAGACTAACACCCCTAACACCCCTATGGCCCAGACGATAGCATGACAATCTCATGGGTATGGTTGCACCCATTTCACAGATAGGGAAGCTGGAGCCTGCTTTAAATAACAAAAACAACACCCACTCAGGTTTAACACCTTGGACTGGTTTTGGGATTTGGTAAAAAAGAAAAATTAGTGTACTTTGAACTAAAAACAGCAAAGCTTTCATAATTTGTATAAGGTTCAAATACCCCATATTACCTTGCTGTATTCTGTATACATCACAGTGTTTCTTTACTTGCCCACCCCCGAGTTCCCCACAAACACACTCGCACACGTGCATGCACGCGTGCACATATTTAAGCGGCTCAAGGACAGGCCCTGCGTGTTCGTCTCTATATTCCCAGCACCGAGCACAGAGCCTGACCCAGTCAATGTTTACTGAGCCGAATTCATTATTGCATTCCATCAGTAATGAGCCAGAGAGCTCACTCAACAGTTCTTTAAGCAGGCCTCCAGCAAGCTCATCGCCGGCGGCTGTGAGGCGTGAGTGTGAGCAGGCCCTTGCCCTGCTTCTTCATACTCCACCGTCAGGAATAAGCCCTCTGTCTTTGGAAGCAAGCTCCCCTCAAGGGGACCATTCTTAAGATCTTCACCTACGGCCAGTTTCAAACCTGTTCTAGGTCTTCAACTGCAGGCCATCTTCTGCAAAGGGCTTTGGGACCCTTCAAGGCCCTAATGACATAAAGTTCCCTTTTGGCCCACTCTGTGTCTGTGAGCAACGCCTTGACACAAGGCATCTTGTCGGTCCCCCCCCCACCCCATCCACTGAGGCAGGGATTACCTGAGAGCAGGGTGGGGGAGGCTGGGGCACAGGGTGGGTGAGTGGAGAACCAAAGGGCCAGTCTGGGACCAGAGACTTTTCTCTGTGGACCTAGAAGTCCCCATCCTGGAAATGAGGACAATGACTCAGGCACACCTGGCTCAAAGGTGTCCTGGCACCTCCCAACGGTCCTCAGCATCCTTAACCTATAAATCACACCTACTTCAGAAGTGTTCTGAGGTTATGGATGATACTGTACATAAAACACTCGTCCTGTGCCTGGTAGATGTTGAGCTCTCAAAAACTGGTACTGATTAATAATGAGAATTGCCCCCTTTCACAAAGTTCCCTCTTCACTATTCTGAGTAGTTCCAAAAGAGGAAGGATCTCACAGTCCTTGGGGCTGGGGAGCAATGGGGAGTCCACACGGGCTCCAGGAGCCAGGTGCAAGGCACATTCTTCTCTCCCATTCTGAGGAGAATGACACTCCGCCTTCCTGAAACCCGTCCCGTGGCCTCCGTGAACCACATCCTGCCTTTCCTCTCCCCTCTCCACGTCCCTTCCGCCTCCACCGCCATCAGGTGCTTTGCGCCAAGCTCCAGAAATCGAGAGCTTTTTCTACTCCCCCTCCTCTCTGCCTCTCCCCGGCTAGATGACCTCCCATGCCTTGGAACTACACTTCCTTTGCTGGCTCCCAAGGTCTTAGGCCAGCCCCCAGAGCTTCCTGCCCCGCACTGGCCCTTGAATGGCTCTCACACGTGGTGAAAGTGCATCCTGAATTGCGCACCAGAATCTCTTCCCACCACCTCCCACCCAGAGTCTTCCTCATCCTGATCAGCTGCGCTACCGTCCAATCTCTCAGGCTGGAAATCACCAACTATCCCAAGAGCAAAATCTGTCCAAAATCAATCTTCTTATCCAGTGCCTTGTGGGAGCCAATAAACCCTAGCCCAAAACACCAGCACCAAGCTTGCAACCCACCAGTTGTGAGCAGCACAAGACCGAGGGAGCTTTGTAGCACAAACCTGACCCCATTCCCCCCACCTCGGTGGCCTGCCACAGTCCGAGAGCACAGCCCACAGCGCAGTCTGGAGGCCTGGCCTGGGTCCATGAGGCCCCAAATGAGCTCAGCCACATCGCGCACCCTGCTCCCGGCACCCTGTGTCCCTCCTTAGAAGCTGCACACAACTGTCCCCCGGCGGGGGTGCTCACCAGCCACCTTTCCCCCTGAACCCCCCACTGACCTCCCACAGTTTGTTTCCTGCACAGCACGCCTCTCACCCTTTCCCATCGTTATTTTTATTCCCACGCTTATTGTTGATCTCTCCTGCTGTCACCCGAGGTTCCTGCTCCAAGAGGTCCAAGGACTCTGTCCATTGCAGCCACCCGCTACGGGAGCCTGACCTGGGGCACGAAGCACCAGAGTCAGGAGTGCTCCGGAATATTTGCTTGAAGGATTAATAAAATGACCAAGCCAGCCTTCCTACTGCTTTTGTATTAATAGCAGAGCCATGCTGCGTCCAAAAAACACTTCCCCCCTCCCACACAGGGAAGGGTACAGAGGGGCCGGGCCCTGGGGGGTGGCCAGCCCTCCCCCCGCCTCAGCCCTGGGGGTCCCCTCAAGCAGTGCAGGCAGGCCACGCTCCCTAGGGTTTAGTTAGGAACATTTGAAAGCTACAGCAAAGGTGAAACAGAACAGTGATGGTCCGGGTGTGCTGGGATCGCCTGTCATGCAGGCTCCCTCTTTACACACGATCTCCAGCCCAAAACACATACTTTGTATGCCTGAACCATTTAAAACTGACTGCACACCTCACACCTAAACACATGAGCAAACATCTCCTACCTTAACACAGGACCGCTATCACCACCCCCAGATTTAATATCGATCCAATCATATTATCTAATGTAGACCCGATTCAAGTTTCAGTTGTTCCTAAATGTTCTTTACAAAAGCTGCCCCCCTAACCCTGAACAAGGCTCAGTCCAGGGTCACACATGCACACATGGTTTTCCACCTGTCTCTGAAGCCTCCCTTAATCTGGAACTGTCTCCCCAGTGGTTTTTGTCTCTTGTGACGCAGACATTTTGAAGCGATGTCTTGTCAAATGTCCCACATTCTGGATCTGATCCATTTCCTCACGTCAAAGATTTTTCAGTTGGCCTGTATTCCTGCACCTGTACACAATCTCAGGCACAAAATGGCTTCCTAAAATCTATAGGTTAAGTAAGAGCTTTTACGGGAAAAAAAAAAAAAAAAATCTGAAAAAGTCTTCAACTCTGGACTCTCTTGAAAATAAAAAACAAACAAAAAAGAAAATAAAAAGCAAACCAGAAGACAGAATGTTGTGGCAGCCCCCCTCCCTGATTCCTGATGCCCTGTGGTCGGATCCCTTACTCCTGTGACTGGGCAGAGCCATGACCCGGCCTGGGCCCCCCGGTGACAAGGGGTCCACGCCCACAAGAGAATCTCACTTCTCTGGGGACCCAAAGATGGGCATCAAGCTCCACCGCAGGTAGAACGGACCCCACCTCTGCCTAAGGAGGAAGTTCTGCAACCCCCCGCCCCCGAAGTGTGAGCTACGGCAGGGTGTCTTGGGTCATCCGAGATGTCCTCTGGGGCATCGGGGCACCTGCCTAACTGCTTTCAGAATAACTCAGATGTTTAAAGTTCCATTGCAAGTGGCACGCTTGGAATGCAGACGGTTCACCTCAGGGGACCTGGCCAACTTCGAGCCAAAGGGTCACCCCGCTAAATGAGACAAAATAAACCCAGATGATATCCAGGACTCAGTGTTACTAAAATACCCCTTTGCCTGATCTTTATTCATAGAATATTGAAGGCCCTTTCAAGCTTAAAACCATAAACACAACACCCAAGTCTATGTCCAAAAACTCATCCCAAAACAAATAAAGCCCCCAAAACTCAGGAGAATTAAAGGCAGCATCCCCTAACCTAGCTGTTCTCTACCGAGAGCAGAATCCCAGGAGAAGAGACAGCTTTTCTGCTCATCTCCGCAGCGTCATGACAGGCTCCTCTGGCTTTTAAAGAGTTCACCAAACCCCAGTGTGAATAACGCAATAAGTATTTTCCAGGTTGTACAAGACGTGCAAGGGCTTGATTTAGCAAATGAGCACGTCCAAATTGCCTGTTTTCTTCACAGATCTTTTTAACTGGAGTCTACCCAACTGAGGAGAATGTGAAGGGCTCACTTTCTGGGAAGCCAAGTACTCCATGCCTCTTGCCAGTTGGTAGGTGCAGGACACCAAGTCCTTGAAGGTCATCTGCTCCTCGGGAACTCGGTTAATGTCATAGGAGTACTCCATCCCGGGCGGCCTCCGGGCTCGGAGGTACTCGCGGAGGTTGCCTTTCGAGGCATACTCGACGATGACGTAGAGAGGCCCTGTGGACGGAGAGGGCAAGCTCACTGAGAAGACGCACCCAGACCTGCCCCGGGGAAGCTCAGCCACATTTTGTTTCTTTCAACCCGCTACTTTTTTTCTTTCTTTCTCTCTCTCTTTTTTTTTTTTAATTGAAACATACAGAAAAGTGCACACAAAAATAGAACACCTACATTCTCATCTCCCCCAAAATGATCATCGACACTCGGGTCAAGACAGCCTCAAAAGTCTTAGAGGAATAGACAGAGATGCAGGGAGCGTTCTTCCCCTGTACCCTCCTGCAGAGCAATGCTTACTATAAATTTTGCCTTTTCCAGTTCATTTTAGCCATTTTACATACATATATGTATCAATAAACATTATTATTTTTAATCGCATACATGAATAATAAAGCTACAGCTTTGCAACATTTTCCCCCTACACGTTATGGTCCTGGAACCCAGTCGGGCTGATAAAAATAAATCTAGATCATTCCTTTTAACAGCTACCTATGTTCCATCATGTAAACATGCCACATTTTATTCACTCATTTCCCTATACTTATGGGCATTTACACTGCTTGCAGGTTTGGCCTGTAACAAACTGCACGGGGAACATTCCTGTGTATGTCTCCTTACACACACGTGCAATCCTTCCTCCGTAGCATAGACCAGAGGCTGGCGAACTACAGCCTGCAGGCCAAATCCTGCCCACTGCCTGTTTTTGTAATTAAATGGTACTGGCACACAGCCAGGCCCGTTCACTTCTGTACTGTCTGTGGCTGCTTTCTCACTCCAAAGGCAAAGATGAGTAGTTGCCACGAAGACCCTCAAGGCCACAAGACCAAAACTACTGACAATCACCCTTCACAGAAAGTCTCCCGACTCCTGGTATAGACCTCAAGGAGAAATGGCTGAGGCAAAGACAGGCTTCTTCAAGTTTATTAATTATCATCAAACTGATTCCCGAAGTGTCAGTTAGCTCTCCAGTGAAGAGAAGTCAATGCTCCCTCTCCCCCAAGGAAGTTAACGTGTCCGTTCATTCTACCCTCTCCCTCCCCTGCACTATTCTTGGGAGCTCAGCCATTGCTGTCCACAGCAAGACATGGCTTCTTCAATCCCCATTTTAAGGGATTTGTCAACCATAACACAGGGTCCTTTTTTTTTTCTTTAAGACTGTATTTATTTGAGAGAGAGGGAGAAAGAGCATGAGCAGAAGAAGCAGAGGGAGAGGGGCAAGCAGACTCCCCACCAAGCAGGGAGCCCGATGCGGGGCTCGATCCCAGGACCCCGGGATCATGACCTGAGCCGAAGGCAGATGCTTAACTGACTGAGCCACCCAGGCGCCCCCCATAGGGTCTTATTTTGAGAAATCCCTCTTAGCACTAGAAAAACAAAAACATAAGGAGACTGTCTTTTCTAAACACCCTCCAGGTTATGCCCTAAAAACAGCAGGACTCTAGAAGGTCCTCCCATCCAAAGCCACCCAACGCCGCCTACCTTTCCCCAGTCCCCCAGTATGGCCACAAAGTCCCCTTTGTGTTCATGGCCAGGAACATCTTCCTAAGGGGATTTTAAAGAGAACTTTAAACATGCACTTGAGGTGCCCTAGGAGCAAGATCCAAAAGTCCAACCGTTTCTAAAATGATGTTAACATTCAAGTGTAAATTATTTGGATGAAAGCATTTTTTCCTCCTACTCACCGTCCTGAGTACAGGCTCCAAGGAGATTTATGATATTTTTGTGTTTTCCGATCATCTTCATCATCTCCATCTCTGACACTAAATCAGAAAGATCCTTCTCTGTGGCATCATCTACAAACATTAGGTAAATTAAAAACCATTTAGTTTTCTCTAACCCATCGACAGCCACTGCTAGTTGCCAAAAACTTAGTGGAAACAGCATGAAATTGAATTTTAGAAGCAGAAAACACTTTCCAAATCATCTCCCTCATTTTATTGGTAAGGGGGCAAAGGCCCAGACGGGGAACTGCCCTGATCCATGTCAAATAGCTAATTTGGGGTCGATGGGGTCAAAAGTCAAGACGAGAATATAGGTCTCTGATGCTGAGGCCAATTCTTTTCTAGCAACCGTCACGAGCGTGGGGGTGTTTAACTTTATCGTGAAGTCAGTCCATCCTCTGGCAGATCTATGGTGCCTCCAAAAAACCGTATCAAACTTGAAGGTGCCTTTAGCAACCGTGAGTAGAAAACAAAGGAAAAGGAGGAGAATGGGGCATTTCAAATCACTACAGACTTTCTCTGGACCAAATGCCGCTAACCCGAGCCCTTACAGAAGTCACAGACAGGTTCAGGGGGCACCTCGTAAGTGTTTACAAAAGTGTGTGTGTGCGCACGTGCATTTTGAGTGGGCAAAGGTTCATGCCTTTGTAGGCTTCTCCAAGGGGGGGGCTGTGATTTCCAACCTAAAAAAAATAAAGTTTTATAAACCTCTGCTCTCTAATTTCAAGAAAAACAGCGTAGGTCCCACATTCGTGGGCTCACAGCTTCGGCAAAGCGGCAAGACTCTTCCCCACGTGCCTCCCTTTGAGTTAACTCGATATGGAAAACTGCATTTACTAAAAAAATGAAATAAGGAAATGCACAGGAGCCACGTGGCAAAAAGCTTTTTAACTTTCACAAGCGGAAGAGCAATGTAATTGGCTGGAAGGTGAGATGCACAGAGAGCCCAGGGAGGGCTGTCCTTCTGCGGTGAGCCACTCACTGGCAAAAAAAATCGCCCCCCCCCCCCCCCCCAGGGCTCCGGGGCTGATGTCCTTCTCCATCCTGAAAGGGAAGGCCAGCCTGTGTATATCCAGAGAAATAAACGCCCAGACTTCCAATTCTGAGCTCCAAAAACCAAACAAAAGTTCTTGCCAAAAGAGGCTGGAAGCCTGGGCCTTCCCCACATTTGCCCTGGTCCATGGCCAGGGGCTGCTGAGGTGGCTGTTTTGGGGCATGCAGCCCCCTACACCTGCCGCACAGGGGGGCGAGGGCACACAGGCAGACCCCGGCCACGCAGGACAAAAGCCAGAGGGCCACCTCTGTTGGTGGGGCACAGGCCTCTCTCCCATCAAATCCCAAGGTGAGGAGCTCAAAACACCCAAGCTTTCCTTGGGAGCCATTCAGATCAACATCTTTAAAAAATTCTTTTTTTTTTTTTTTTTGGACTATTTCCACCCTGCTACCTCTCCACTCGGAGAGCGACAGGACGACCATCACACAAAGCCCACGAAAGAAAAAGAAAAAGCCTAACTCCGGGAGCACCGGCATCCAAGAACACACAGGCAGCTCTGCCCGGACACATGGGGAAAACTCCATCCTTTCTCAGCTCCCTACAATAGGATTTATAACGAAACCATTCCCTTAGAACTCCTCTCCTAAAAGAATACTACGGAGGAGGAAGCTGGCGTTTGAAGTGCTATAAGCTCCTTGGACACTGGCATGAAGCAGGGCTGGGCAGTCATCCCACGAATGCCATGCGATGCTCACATCCCAGGGAAACTGTTCACATGTTCCAGAAGTTTCTGCCCAGCCACCAACCCCACCACTGATCCTGCTCCTTCCCTCTTAGCTTTCTAAGGGCTTCTCCCAGACTAGCGTCAATTCCGCTTTGTTCCTCTTACAAAAGAGAAGGTGTGTCTTCCTCTCCCCACGCCTCCTCCCTCCCTCCCTCCCAGAGGCCAACCCTCCTTTATTTGTAAGTTAAGGCTTGCATCCCAAATTCAGCATACCAGGACTCATCTAAATGAACCAATTATAGGTGAGTTGATATTTCTAAGCACATACAAATATAGAGGGAATAAAAAAAATCGCGGTCATCAACAAGGAGCTGACAAAGAACAATCTGGGAGGCTACCCCTTTCTAACCAAACTGGCTTTTCTTTCTTGTAAGTGCACGCAGCTCAAGATAAATCATCTGTCCAGGATGCTGATTTATACTGAAAACTTCTCAACCCCTAGGTCAACTATGTGCTCTCTGACCCCCTGCCACGATAGAGTTCACATGCCACAAAAGGAACATTCTTGATAAGACTTCCCCCACACACACCCACCCGTCCCCCTCCCCACGCACCTTTCAACATCTTCACGGCCACAGTGACTGCTTCCTTGGGCTTCTCTTTGTCAATTCCCACCGCCTCAGCCATGACCACTTGCCCAAAGCAACCTTCCCCCAGAGGTTTGCCCAGCGTCAGCCTAAATGTGTAAATAGGGGATTAGTGCACAGCATCTGGTGAAGGGGAAATTCCAGAACTAAATATAAAAATCTTTCAGCGGCTTGCAAAAGCATGGAGCATTTATCATATGGAACTAATGAGACCGGGGGTACACACGCGCTTGAGTATTTTCTTAGTGACGTTGTAGAGAATGTCAATTACGGGCGGGACAGCTATTAAGTTTCACATTTGTGTTCACGATTTATTTTCTTTGTGGAAGGTATCCTTGCTAGTGAGGTGGTCAGCTTTCCTAAGTGCTAACAATGAGGAGCTTTTGATCTCCGGCCAGTTGAATATTCGTAATTTAGAATGTCTCAAAGAAAAAATGTTAAAGCTGTTCTTATTTTTTGGTCTCTGTGAAGTGATGTCTTTAAAATCACTATTATTCAAATACCAGTGGATTTTACGGTCACATTCCTGGCCAAGTTACATGATATGAATCTTTAAACGCATTTCAAGGAATCTCTAATTTTTCCCTAAAGGACAAAGAAAATTCTAGAAATTGAGGGGAATCTTTTTTGGCCTAACGGTTTAGAAATCCTTAACTACCCAAAATTAATAATGAAGAAAACCCAGAGTGAACATGATAAACCGTATTTCTAAGCTCAGGAGCTCGGTGCACGTCCTACTAATAGCCACATATTGTCTTTGGACATTCTAGAAGCCGAAAGAATGGAGAAATCTTTGGCATACTCATGAATGTGGGGTTTTTTTCCACTTAAGCATAGTGCAGCAAAGCATTTAGCAGCCCTGAGTAAATAAACTGTATTTATGGTAAGTACACAATGGTTTACAAAAGCTAAGCAAAGACTGAGGGCAGTGTATATGCTAGGCTGAGGTCATTCTGTTTCTCTCCTGAACTAAAATTAAATTTAATATCTTGGCAGAAAATAAACATTTGCATTGGGAAAATGGCTAATTTATGTCCTACTGCCCTGTTACTACAAGCATAACAATCCTTTCTTTGTGCCACGTCTGCCTCCAATCTAATAAACTGCTTCTAAATAGCCTTCATTCACTGGAAATCTGCCCCACCTACATCTGTGCTCAACTCCGTTCTGAAACGCTTAGCACTCCCATTTGCTGCACTGAGGGTGCCCCCCGGGTGGGAGTGGGCAGTTAGGCACATACAGACATCCACTGTTGACCGAAGCATCGCGGGGCCCGAACATGAGAGCTGTCATTTCTTAACGTGCGATCACAGGAGCCCAAGTCAGTCCTAGACGCACAGGAATGTGTGCCAGAGCCCTCCTACTTGCACCCCCAAAGGAGGGAGCGAGGTGGTTTCGGGAGAAACTACCCCATTCTCTTTCCACACTCTCCAGGTAAAGAAACCATTCTTTGTGTTTTTCTCTGATGCCTCCGAGTTGTATAAACAAGTCCTGAATGAATGAATGGTCTTTCCACTACGGTGCACAACTACACTGGAAATGGCCTCCACTAACTCTCCTGACAGAGTGATACCTGCGCAATTCTTTGGTCCTAGCTTATGATGCACATTAGTATCTCCAGACTGGCTCTTGGGGAACAAATCTGGTGTAGAGCTGTGGGATCAAAATCATGGTGCCCTGTAAGCCACCTCTCTTTCCAAACAGAGCTCGTCAGACCCAGGCTCTAGAATAGCTTAGCTTAGTACCTCTACATTTGTGGATGAGTTTCTTCTATTGTAATTAAACACCTCTCTGACCTAATCTCACGGAGATACTGCCAATGTCAAGACAAATAGGGAGTGGGAGCTACATAGAAGTAAGGCAAGAGCTCATTCCGCTTGATGTGATGTAGATGGATAGTCCGTGATTTCCACCTTCCACTACTACCAAGGTTCAGGTTCAAGGGACTACAAGTGGTACCCTGGAAGGGAGCTGCTGGCCTTCAAGGACCATCACACTTTATTTCAGAAGGTGGGTCTGGGTGCTGGTTCTGCCTAGAAGACAGAGAGCTGGGAGCACAGGATCTGCCTCACACACTCTGCCTAGCACCACCATGTTGTTGGGGTTTGTGGTTCAGAACTCCCAGCTTACCACTCCATGAAGGGAAACACAAGACAGGGAAACTCATGAGCCGAGAACTGCACTCGGTCCTGCGAGGTCTATACCACGGTCATCATTTTATAAACATGAAGTTCAGAGAATCAAGGTTGCCCAGTCGCTGGCTAGCTGAGCCAGGATTCAAATCCCGCCCAAGACAGCCCAAATACATGGACCTGAAGCCAAATCAAGAGATTAAGAGCTCCCAGTAATGCCTTCAACAGAGCCCAAGTGGTCATGCTCTGACTGAACGAACACCTGATTGGAACGCCTCCACATGATCCAGTAAAGAAAATATTATGGACCACAGGAAATGTGATGTCAGGTACCATATTCAAACCTTTGCAGCCCCACAGGACATTAACAACCCTTAAAAAAGAGCAACACTGACTGAAGATTCTTCAGGCAAATTTGTATTTTATACCTAATTTCTCCCAAAGAAATGAACTATAGAACAGTCATGCTCTAGTAACCAGAAGTTGGAATGTCATATCTGTTTTATCAATGAGATTTAGCCCTACATTTAGTCCATGTGACTAGGTTTGAATTATCCAAAAAGTAAAAAAGTGCTAACAAGGTACTATCTTGGTTGGGGACCAGCCGTGCCTAGCAGCTTTTTTAAAAGAACCAGTAAAAGAGAGAGAGAGAGAGAGAGAGAGAGAGAGAGAGAGAGAGAGAGAGAAAACCCATTCTTTTCTTTCTCATGAGTTGGTTATATAGAAACAGCATCTCACTCGCTCATGTCGCATGACCCTTGCAGCTAAGGATCAGAAAAAGAACATGTCAATCCAACATCCCCATTTATGCCTACGATTCCATTCAGGGATGCGTCCAATAGAAGCACTCACTTATCTCTCGGGAACTCCCACTTTGGATCTTCTGGCAATTCATACTCGGAGACCCCTGCCAACATGGGGGTGTCTGCCGTCGAGGAGAGGCGCGTGGTTATCCTTACCAGCGGGGTGTTGGAGTTCATGGAAGAACTGGATTCAGCGGAAACCTGGAGACAAAACGCAAAGATGCAGATGTAATCCTGGCCCTACCTGAGAAGCCTGGCAGCCGGCCAGAGCCCAGCCAGATGTTTAATTCTGAGAAAGGAATAGAAGAGGGAGTGCTGGCCAAAGTCAAGAATTTAGGACCCAAACCGCTGGATCCCAGCACCCCTGTCCCCCCTTCTTTGCAGTACCAGATTTCACCCATATCCTAGGTCCCTAAGCCCAGGTTTGCAAACATTTTTAGATGCTCCCAGAGCAACATATGCCAGCCTTCTGACCCAATTCCTCCGAACAAGCACCTGAGGACAGGGCCACCACCCCATGGGCTTCATGACTGCCTTTTTGCCTAGACCTGTCCCAGAGCCCCACGTGGTCAATCTCCCTGCAGACCAGCTCAGACCATGAATCAATTCTCTGCCTACGAAACTCCACGAAACCTTCTGAGAAAATCAGCTCTTCGATATTTTCGTCTGCCTTTTGGAATGAAAAGCTCAGCGTCTCAAGGAACTAACTCGAGGATTCGAGTGTGAAGGGTGTTCCAGTAGCTCTAAGTGCCCTAATGCCAGGTAACCTGAGGCCCAGGCACTGGGGCCATTCTCTGCTTCTCCCCAGGCCTTCTGGGAACTGGCGGATGCCCAGGCCATTCAGTGAAAATCCACAGACTCTTGTCAACTTCGCTTTCAGAAACTAGTGGATTGAACACATGGGACGAAAAGTCAAGGAGCCAAAAAACTACACCCTTGATTCATAATCACATGGGAAAGCTCCTCTTCCACCTGCGGCATGCAAGGGCTTCCCCGAGTTTTCTCATTCACCCTCACCCATTTTGGTCTGCGTCTGATAAAATGGTTACTTCTTAAATATAGCACCTTCCCTGTGCTGGTTTCTGTAAAGGAAAACACACGCAGAGCCCACTTGAAGGCCAAATTTGAGAATAACTACACAATCCTGGAAAACCATGGGCTGCTTGGCCACCCCCTTATTCTAAACCATGAACGAGACTTGGGAATCAAGAAAGTTGGAACATGAGGTTTAACACGGTCCAACAAAGCGGCCTGCCCTCCCACCCTGGTTCTGTCCCCTGCATGACTGCCCAGGTCAACTGTACTCCCCAGCTGTGCTGACCAACACCTTTTAAATTAAGGTGCCAAAGACGGAATGCAGACGAACAAACTTAGTTGGGATGACCATCCACAAAATGGAGCCTGAACCATTCCCTCCGTACTTCCCTGGGAACGTTATTTGGAAAACCTTTATTCTCTCCTTTGTAAGCCCAAATTGCCCTTAAGGCAGACAGAAACCCAAGACGATGCCCAAGAATGGACTGGGAGGCGGAGAAAATCATTTTAGGAATAGGAAGTTGGTTTCAGTATTAAAATCAAGTTGTATGTGATTTTTAACCCAGAATCTCTATTATCTTTTAAAACGTACAAGAGAACGGGCACCTGGGTGGCTCAGTCGGTTAAGCATTTGACTCTTGATTTCGGCTCAGGTACCGATCTCAGGGCCATGGGATCGAGCCCCACACTGGGTTCCCCATTCAGCACAGTCTGCTTGCGGATTCTCCCTCTCCCCCCACAGCCCACTCCCGCTCGCTCTCTCTCTCTCTCTCTCTAAATACATAAATCTTTAAAAAATAAAAGTAAAACGTACAAAAGAACATTTCTGAGCCTTCTGAGCAATCCTTTGACAGGAAGACTCACTCCTAAATTTTACTATGCGGATAGTATGAGCAGTGCTATCGTGAACACCATAAATAATTTTTTCTTTAAAAGGGAGCTGAAGAATCAATAATTTTGGAGCTGAGAGAACTTCGTGAACAGACTGAGCTCCCAGAGGCTGAGGCCTCACATCCAAGTGCCCACATGATCGAATGGCAGAAGCAAGGAGGAAAGCACAAAAGGTAACTGTGTGGACTCCCATGGAACCCACCCGTGCTCCCTACTAATGCCAGGCACTAGGCAGGGACCCCACCCTGGCCAAACAGATAACTTGGAACACCCCTCCAGTGTGTGGGGCCCAACACACTGCACTACACTGACTCAAGGCCATGTGCTATGGATACAAAAGGAGGCTGGTGTTTTCAGAGACAAAAGGGTCTTCCGGAAAGTTCTCCCCCACGAAGAGGCAAAAATCACCATTCACTGCAATGGGAACTTGTACTTGAGGATCACAGGCAACAAGTACCGACCACACTAGTAAAAGTCAGCCTCTTGCTGAGATGATACAGGCCCCAAATGGCCACGGTCTAGCAGATTCTGCCGCCATGACTCTCTGCAAGGTCAGCCAGGTAGCCTGTCACTACCAGCCCCGCAGGATTTCCAGAATTCCACCATCAGTGCCTGGTGTGCTGCCATCGGTAGAGAGGAGTAGAAACCCAACGGAGAAGTAACAGGGGGGCATGGCTCTGAGTGAAGAGGCAGGTCCTCAAAAATCTCTGCTCTTAGTGGCAAGACTTAAGAGTATGATGGAAGAAAGCAGCCTTCCCATGTGGGGTGTGAGAACATAGCACTGTTTTTAAGCTTTCAGGAAGGATACAGAAGAGATTTAAGAGTGGCCACCTTCAAAGAGAGAGACTCGAACAGTGGCGGAACGGGGCAGAATTTGTCTTGCCTCAGAACTTTCAAAGCCATTTGAATTTTATTACCATGCCCATGTCGTTCTCTTACGTTTTAGAAAAAGCACCTTCTTTAACAATAAAAATATGTTTGAAACACGGTGACGTGACTTCTAAAATGAGTTAGAAATGACAAGAACCCTGCCCTTCTCCTTCCCCTGTGCTACCGTGCTGGGTTCTACGGCATCTCTGCACCCTCCCACGTGGGCACCCCACTGACCGGCCCTGGCCAAGCAGTCAACCCTAGCTGGTACCCTTCCCCTGCTAACTGTTCACGACACGGGGCCCGGTCAGTTCCCAACCCACAGAGGTACCACGAGGGTAAAATGAGGTCACACCCATAAGGCATTTAGTGCTGAGCCTGGCACTTGCTAAGAGCTCAGTTAATATTTGCTACCAATACCACAACAGCTTTTCCTAGCACCTTTTCAGAATCCTGCACTGCCCGGATCCAAGAGAGCTTATGACCAGCACCTTCCTCTGGGGATCCCGGAAGATCTGGAGCCTGCAGTTGTTTTGTGTGGGAGATGCTAGCTTACTGTGTGCTCCGCAAAGAACAAAACCCCACTGGCATTAAGGGCTGAGACTGTCTTACTGGTTTGGACAATGAGACCCTCTGCTCACAGCCAGGATGGGCTGCGGCTCCAGCAAGTGAAAGAGCAAACCCAAGAAATAAAGGATCGCAGAGTCAGGGGTCAGTCCCAGGGCAGGAGGAAAGCTGGAACATAAGAACGTCCTCATGACAAATATGGCTCAGAGGTTGCCTAAGAACAGAAAAACCTAACGTTCAGTCAGACGTTAACTGCTCTGCGGCTAACCTATGACCCGAGAGCGATCTTTGCCCACAAACCCATGGCGAAAGTTCACATACATACACATCCTCCTCCAAACAACCTCGACAAGGTTTTCATGTGAAAGCTTTTAAAACGGAAACCCTTGACAAACTTGGTTGTTATCATTACTATTAAAAACCTGAAAATCGTCGTTTACGAAAAGGATTACTTTATGAAAGTTCTGTCCAGATTAAGCGTGGAGGTTTAGATTCAACGTATAAATCTGGAAAATACTTTTGTAAAAAGCAGAAAGGGGGAAAAGAGGTAAGAAAATGCCAGAAGTATGAGAGACTAGAATTTGGTCACTCTGTCCATGGAGGTGTTATCTTCATTTTACCTCCACGCTTTTTTATTGAGCTTTTAAAATCCCCTCTGCGACTGTAACTATGGCTGGCTTTCTCTTCACGCCATTTCTGCTGTGAGCCAACGTGTTTCCGGGGCTTGGCGATTCCTCCATGAAATGTTGCATCTTGCTGGACCTTCTCTCCTTCAGAACATGCCCCTCAAGTAATTCCCACTGCCCATCTGTGAATCCCTTGACTAGCACAGCGCTATTGAATTATCACTGGGTTTGGGTTTTTTTGCACAAAATCATGACCTTCCCTTACCAGATAGCCTATCTAATTTAAAAATATTCCATGGGTGGCGATCATTAAGTCACTGACAAACAATAAATGGGAACACCCTAAAATAAACTGCCTTCCCGCTCCTCAATCCCCTCAGGAACGCCTCTAGCGTGTATTTTCAGTCTCTACTCAACTCCCCACTTTCCGGAATCTCTTTAACACGTGCCATAAATCAAGCTTTTAATGAAATGTGCCTTTTGTATCTTTCTACAGTCTATAGGGGAGATTAAGCAAGGAAGTGGTTTTTTTTTTTTTCTTTTCTTTTTAAAGGGCCACCAAGAAATATGTTACCTCTGCATACTAGAGTAGACTAGATTAGAACCAAGGCAGGGGATCCCACAGAGAAGAAGGCAGGCAGAAGCAAGGAGGGGAGGGGTAATGAATGTGCACGCTAATTCCTGACTCTCAAGCTGTGGATCCACGTTCCCAAGCCAGAAGAGAAGGCCCCGAGTTAACATACTTTTTGCTCTAAGCCCCGCCCACCATTCCCTGATGTCCAAACAAAATGCTTTCACCACCTCGAACCAGGTGGCTGGGATAAAGGTTCAAGGGGTTTCGGGGGTTGGATTCAAAATTTAACTCATCAGACGAGGTGGTTTATCACTCTTCTCCTTTGCCAGGTCTCTGCCTCTCCCATGCTGCTCCCTGGACTCCGTGAATCAACCCATCAGAGCAATGGCTCACGGGTCCTGGACGGGCTGGTTCTTCCTAGAAGATCCCAGTAGCCAAAATCCAAATCAGATCGCACACTGCCCTGTCTTTGGAAGGCTGAGAGGAGAGAACAGCCAATGCGGGCACCCACATGGAAGGGCAGAATCCAGTTGGCCATGCACGGCCACTCTCATTACCCACGTGTGTTCTGGAACCAGGGAGGTCTCACTAGACCACCTGAGGAACCAAAACATGGAGACTATTCCAAGATCACGGTATTTTGCTGCTAGACAGTGAATGAGCTTCTAGGAGTGGAACCCTCCTTCACAGGGTTCATTGTGTTTAATAACCATTAATGCACAGCCCCTACCCAGGAGATGGGTTTATCTGTTTATGGCAAAAGGGAAATCTCCATCCTGCCCTATGGAGACTTTTGGCTCCAGAGAAGGAAGTCGATGTACTCACTGAAAAACTGATCCACCAAAGCCAGCAATAGCACATGCCTCCTGAACAAACCTCCTCAATTTCCCCTGTACCCCTCTCCCCACCAATGCCCCTGATGTGTGCGGCACAGGGAAAGTGAAACCCTCTCTTGAACTCATGGATGTGCAAAGGCTGCCTCCCAATGACTATGGCTATCCACTGGCAGCCCCAGAGACCTACACAAGAGCTGACAAGCTCACGAGGACACCCTCTCTGGGCTGGTCATGACCCCTTGATCATGCTGATTCCAAAGGAGCAGGCACGCCAGGGGCTGGCATGGTATCCGAGCCCCAGCACTGAAAGCAGGATGAACCCCTGTCAAGGGACACAGGGAGACGCTGTGTGCGACCTGCCTCCCCCAACCAAAAAGTTCTCTTGTCTTTCCTCAAGCATCAAAATGCATAAAGAGCCTCAAAAAACTCCTGCTTACTGGGGCATGAACACAAGGAATTTCTTCTTAGCTACCCGAAAAAAGTATTTTTGACTCAAAAAAATAACAAACTGAAATGTCTGTCTCATAACGGTTAAGTCCAGGACAAATTAGTAAATGTCAAGAAGGAAAAACTCACAGTAGGATTAAAAAAAAAGGGAGAAAGAAAGAAAGAAAGAAAAGAAGGAAAAGAAAAAACACAACTCTTCTTGTTCTAAACAGAGAACAATGATGGATTGAGTTGAGTGAGATGTTGTGTGTATGTGTGTTGGGGGAGGGGCGAGGGTCAGGGCCAAGAAGATAACACTCGAACTCCATCATGAAGACGCTCAGTGTTACCTGTGTGGTATAGAGGAGGTTGGGCAAATACAGCATGAAAAGTGGCCTTGCAAATAACTAGGAAGGACACATCCTCAAGACATCTGATTACAGGCTCACCTGTCGCCAGGTAAAGGCATGCTTGGCATCCCTGTGGTATTTTCTCTGTCATCAACATATCTGCTGGCCTTTATGGGGCTTTTCATTCCAGCTACAGCCCAATAACCCTCTTTTATCCAGATACCTGATAGGCATCTCCTTCCCCACCAAAGGGGCCATGCTAACTGTCAGAGTGCTCTTTGTAAAGAATCATACATCCGTTTTAACATATAAGAGGAGGTGAGGTGTGTCAACATTCCCCCCAATAAATTAATCTCCCAGAGATCTGTTTTTTTTCCAGGGCATTGCTATTTGCCCACCTTCCTCTGCTTCTCTTATTCTACTTGACCCTACTAAAACCCAAGACAACTACATTCCAAACGATGACTGCCAAATAACCTTGGAACCACTGGTGAAGGTGACAGGTCTTATCTTGCATGGAACCTGGGTTAGACCAAGCACTCGGGAAATTATGATAAGAAAAGAAAGAAAGAAAGAAAGAGAGAGAGAGAGAGAGAGAAAGAGAGAAAGAGAAAGAGAGAAAGAAAGAAAGAGAGAGAGAAAGAGAGAGAGAGAGAAAGAGAAAGAGAAAGAGAGA